GGTTTCACCATATTGACCAGGATGGTCTCAATCTCTTGACCTCATGATCCACCCGCCTCGGCCTCCCAAAGTGCTGGGATTATAGGTGCGAGCCACTGCGCCCAGCCTCCTCTTTCTAATTACCTCCCGCAACTCATCAAGAGCTTCCCCACCTCAAGAGCTTGGCCGCTGGAGACGCACAAGGCAAAGGGAGTCTGTGAAACGACACCGAGCATCTATTAAGCACTTGCTGTGTGCCTGGTTTGGTAATAATAAGTAAAATCACAACGCTCTGGGCATGTCAGTGCACCTCCTTATGTTCATCCTCCCAACAACTCAATGAGATGGCTCTATAGGTGGGGAAACTGAGGCACAGGGAGGCAAGACTGGCCCAAAGCCACAGATTAGGAGGAGTAGGGCCGAAATTCAAATCCAAGTACAGTGGTTCCAAATCCCAGCTCTTCACATGAAAAGCATCTTGCAACTCCTCGAGAAGGCTGGGACTGTTATTTTCATTGTACAGACAAGAAAACCAAGACACCAAATGCCCAGGTAGCGCTGGAGCCAGGAGGTGGGCTTAGTGGCTTATGGGAGCATATGGAATGGAGCCCATGGGAGACTCAAGGTTGGGGTCTCCCATCTTATCCTGGTTTAAGTGATGAGGTGACTGGGAGTGTCAGAGACACTCTGGGACCAGCCATCCAGGCGCTCTGCATCCAGTTTCCATATGGAACGTGGAGAGTAGACAACCTGCCACTCAGCAGGACTGCTGTCTGAATCCCGGTGGTTCTTCAAAGTGTGGCTAAGCAAGGCAGGACTGTCCTCGGACCAGTGACCCCCAAGCCACACAAGCACTCAGTTATGCTTCAGGGGGTGCAGGACTCAGGAGGTCTTCCTCCCACCACAACCTGCCCAGCTGGCTCCAGGCACGGATGCAGACGTCTCTCTCCCTGCCTGCTGCTGGCACGTCCCTGGCTCTGCCGCTGCTTCAGGGAGGGGCCAAGAGTTCCCCGGCCTCATTGTTTATCCTTCGGTTCCCTTTGGATCTCTGGGTACACAAGGCACCCTTCCCTCTCCATCACACTGCATTCAGAGGGCCAGGGCCTCGGCACCGATGCCAGTCATCTAGCAGCAAAAACATGGGTCGGAAAGGGCCGAGGTGCTGCTCTGATCTGGCCCCATCCCACGCGGGTTGCCGTTCCTGCCAGCTCCTTCCTGTTCCCGGCCCCACCTCTAAGGTACCACGAGCTCTGCAGGTCCAAAGCCAAACTCACCAGCCCTTGACCCTCTCCAGCTGGGATTAGGGTGAGGCCTTCACCCAGGTGCAAAAGTTAAGGGAGCACCAAAAAAATCCAGTAATCAAATAATATTTTAAAGTAACATTTTAAACAAATCAAATTCCACGCTGAACAAACTCTGAAAGGGCTGTGCACTTGCAGGGCTGGGCCTGTCTTTATTTAAAATTCCGACATCTGTTCATCATGGAGGTTACTTTGCATCATTTCAATATTTAAAAATACTGTATTAAACACTGTCTGTGTTGATTCCCAAGCTCTTTGGTGTCCCCTTACATTTTGCTCCTGACAAGTGCCTGATACGCCTTGCCCCAGCCGGCCCTGCTCTCCAGGCCCCTCCCCAGCCTGTCCGGCCCACGCTCCTTGAGGCCGTCAGAAGCCACTGAGCCACTGCACCTGCCTTATTTTGCTCCTTAGGCCTCTGCAGCGCCACCTCACCTTGCTTTCCTCGTGTGCCTCAGTCGGATGTCAGCTCCAGACAAGAGCCTGGTGGGCTGGGGGCAGGCACCACAGCTGCATGCCCCCTGCCTCAGTGCCAGGCACAGGGCAGCACGAGAGATTTTTTTTTTTTTTTGGAGACAGAGTCTTGCTCTGTCACCCAGGCTGGAGTACATGGCACAATTTTGGCTCACTGCAACACTGCAACCTCCGCCTCCTGGGTTCAAGCTCTGCCTCCTGGAAACAAGCAGATTTTCCTGCCTCAGCCTCCTAAGTAGCTGGGACTACAGGTGTGCACCACCATGCCAGACTAATGTTTTATATTTTTGGTACAGACGGGGTTTTGCTGTATTTGACAGGCTGGTCTCAAACTCCTGACCTCAGGTGATCTGCCTGCCTCAACCTCCCAAAGTGCTGGGATTACAGGCATGAGCCACCTCGCCTGGCCGAGATTTCTTGATTAAATAAACATTCCCGGCACGGAGATCTGCCCAGGAAAGCTGCTCAGGCTCTGCCTCTGCACCTCTGCACCGAAGTAACCCAGGGCCGCTCCAGCCGCCTCCACCTGGCCATCTCCCTGCCCCCACCCAGGCGGGCTTGTCCCATGCTATGGGCCAAGAAAACTATTTAGTGAGTGGTAACCGGCATTTTTTTTCTTTAATTTCAAAAGAATGCACTCACGATAGCTCAATGTCCCTCAGCTAATGAAGGCAATGTGTCTGTCCACGATGGAACTGTCCATTCCACGGTGAAATATTACTCAGGGAAGCATGGGCACCTCCTACAACGTGGATGGACCTTGGAAACGTGACGCCAGGGGAGACGCCAGACACAAAGGCCAAACTTAAAATTCTCTGTACAAGAAATGTCTAGAATCAGCCGGGTGCAGTGGCTCATGCCCATAATCTCAGCACTTTGGGAGGCCAAGACAGGAGGATCGCTTGAGCACAGGAGTTCAAGACCAGCCTGGGCAATGTGGTGAAACCCTCATCTCTACAAAAAAATACAAAAATTAGCCGGGCGTGGTGGCGCAGGCCTGTAATTCCAGCTACTAGGGAGGGTGTGGTGGGAGGAGGGTTTGAGCCTGGGAAAGGGAGGTGCAGTGAGGAGAGATTGAGCCACTGCACTCCAGCCTGGGCCACAGAATGAAACCCTACCTCAAAAAAAGAAAAAAAGAAAAATGTCTAGAATCCACAGAGATAAAAAGGAGATGTGGAGGAGGAGGGTGGGATTGACAGCTAAAGGTTTCTTCTTGAGAAAAGAATTTTCTAAATTTCCCAAATTTTCAATTTCTAAAATTAGTTGTGGTGATAATGGTTGCACTCTCTGAAGAGACCAAAAACCATGGAATTATACACTTGAAATGGGTGGACTGTATAGTAACTTACTTGAATCTCAATAAAGCTGTTTTTTTTTAAAAAAAAATGAAAAAGCCTTCCCTTTCTCAAAAAAAAGAGAGAGAGAGAGGAAAAATAAAATAGAAACTACAAGTGCAGCAGGGGCATGGTAAAGGTAAGAATTCCACCACGGAAGTTCTGTTTCATTTATACACACGTACCCTCCCCGCCACACAGAGCTGTGTCCTGGTTTGTGGTGACAGACTCCTTTCTGGAAACCGCAGTCCAGGCTGATTTTGAAAGCTGCTCTCTGGCAACTCCAAACTGCCCATAATTCCTGAAGCCCTTGGCCTGCTGGGACCTCTCAGCCCACCAGACACAGTCCCCTGTCACCACCTACTCAAGACTCAAGACTGCAGCCTCGGGGAGGGGAGCTCTCTCTTTAGGGTGCAGGGGCCCTGTGGATTCATTGCCTCTCAGAATACACACCACCCTGCACTGCACACGTGTGCTTCACCACAGAGCGTCCCAGGACACCAGCCATAGCCAGTCACATTTACACACTGACTGATCGATCGTGCCCTGCTGATTAATCATGTCAGTTATCCGGCTGCACGCCATCCTCACAGAGCAAGCTAAAGCAACCCTCTCGGAATATGCTGAGGGATTTTAAATAAGCTAAAAGAGGCTTTCCTAGGAAAAAAAAATAATGAATTTTAAGAAGAAAGAAAAACTCCAAAAATCATACACCCATGGAAAAAATTTAAGTTTTTAAAGTACTAGACTCCCACAAAAGTATCCGGCTCAGAAAGTTTCACGAGTGAATTCTTGAAAAGTTTTAACAAAGAGATTACTGTGTCGCTGCTTAAAATGTTCCAGAACACAGAGGGGGTAAAAATGCATCCAAATTGTTTTTGCTAAGTCAGCACAATACAGACACCAAAACTGATAAAAATAGCGCGCGCGCGCGCACACACACACACACACACACACCCCACCCACTCCAGACCAAGCTCGCTGCTGTGTATCCAGGCAATACCATCTACCCCTACCTCGATGCTGAAACTGAAATATATTCCAATGGATTCATGATTTCAACACATAAAAATGAAACCACAGAAGTACTAGAAGAAAATGTGGGTGAAATTCTTTCCTATAATTTCAGAACTCAGGAGACCCCTAAACAGAACGTGAATTCCAAAAGCTAAAAGAGAAAGCAGAGATTTGACAACATCAGGATTAAAACATTCTGTTTGGAAGAACATTCCAGAAATAAAATCAAAAGTAGGCAGCTGGGGACAAGACACTCGTACTTACTGTGATAAAGATGTACACGTAACTCTTTTTTTTGTTTGTTTTTTTAGACAAGGTCTCACTCGGTCACCCAGGCTGGAGTGCAATAGTACAATCACAGCTTACTGCAGCCTCGAACTCCCAGGCGCAAATGATCTTCCCACGTCAGCCTCCCAAGTAGCTGAGACTATAGGCACGCCACCTCACCCAGCTAATTTTTAGAGAGGTAGGGTTTTGCCATGTTACCCAGGCTGGTCTCAAACTCTTAAGCTCAAGTGATATGCCCACCTCAGCCTCCCAAAGTGCTGGGATTACAGGTGGGAGCCACCATACCTGGCCTACAAAGAACACTTCTTAAAAAATGTCAACAAGAAAAGGATTAACCATCCAAATGAAAAGAGAACACAGGGCCCTGGCCTGTAACATATGAACAGATAATCCCTCTTGCTTGACCAAGATGCACAAAATAAAACATCAATTGGAAAGCGTTTGGATCTCAGCCAGGGGTGAAGGGTACAGGACCTCCCTGCTGGACACTGAACAGGGCTGGGCAGACACTGATCAGGCCGGCGAGGGAAGGGGTCCTAAAAATTGGAGTAACTACTTTAGAGGCTAAGGATCAAAAAAAAAATTTTTTTTTTTAAAGGAAGATGGCAGTTTTATTTAAACACAAAACGTGCACATAAGCTGTCTACTCATTTTCTTCACTGCGCAGCCTGGCATTGGGCTTGGTGACTCTGATGGCCAGCTGGGCAGCTCTTTCCACGATGGCTTTGCGGTTCTTGGAGGAAACATTGTGAGCGATCTCAGCACAGTAAGATTTGTTGCACATCAGCAGCACTTCCAGCTCCTTGACTTTGTGGACCAGGAACTTCCGGAAGCCACTGGGCAGCATGTGCTTTGTTTTCTTATTGCTCCCATAACCAATGTTAGGCATTAAGATCTGGCCCTTGAACCTTCTACGAACCCTGTTGTCAATACCTCTGGGTTTCCACCAGTTACGCTTAATTTTGACATATAGGTCTCACTGGTGCCGGATGAACTTCTTGGTTCTCTTTTTGACGATCTTGGGTTTCACAAGGGGTCTAAGGGTGGCCATGATTCCGACCAGGAGATCGCTGCTATCTCCGTAGGCAGCGCCGAGGAAGAGAAGGGACCAAAAAATTTTTTTTGATACAGAATCTTGCTCTGACACTCAGGCTAGAGTGCAGTAGCACGATCTCGCTCACTGCAACCTCCACCTCCCCACCTCAAGTGATTCCCCTGCCTCAGCCTCTGGAGTAGCTGGGATTATAGGCGCAAGCCACCATGCCCAGCTAATTTTTATATTTTTAGTAGAAATGGGATTTCACCATGTTAGCCAGGCTAGTCTTGAACTCCTAACCTCAGGTGATCCACCCACCTCAGCCTCTCATAGTGCTGGAATTAGCTACAGGCTGAGCCACTGCGCCTGGCAGATCAAAATTTAAATGGGCACATCCCTGATACAGTTCACTCCTAAGGGCCCATCCTACAGCCATGCGCACCCAGGTACATGTGTGAGAACATCTGTTGAGGCCTCTCAATCACCAGAGGAAGCTGGAAAAGCCTGGCAGGGCCATGAGACACCTGATGACACAACCATTAAAAGGAACATAATACTTTGGGAGGCTGAGGCGGGCAGATTGTGAGGTCAGGAGTTCGAGACCAACCTGGCCAATATGGTGAAATCCCGTCTCTACTAAAAATACAAAAATTAGCCCAGTGTAGTGGTGGGTACCTGTAATCCCAGCTACTTGGGAGGCTGACACAGGAGAATCGCTTGAAACTGGAAGGCGGAGGTTGCAGTGGGCCGAGATCACGCCACTGCACTCCAGCCTGGGAGTCAGAGCAAGATTCCATCTCGAAACAAAGCAACATGCTACATCTGCAAGCACCAACAGTGTTGCTACACGGAAGAAATAAAAGCTGCTTGCAGAAGTCTGATTTCCTTTGTGTTCTTGAAAAGTCTATATTTACACATTGACTCTTCACACAAGTTGAGTGACTCTGTACAAATAAAATTCAGAAGGAGAATGCCACACCCAGCTGTCAACATGGCCACCCCTTGGGACAGAAAAACTTCCTTTCCAAATTTCATGTGATGTTCATTTTTTTATCTGATAATGACTGGCTGGGCATTGCCTCCTTTTTCTTTTTCTTTTTTTTTTTTGAGATGGAGTCTTGTTCTTTCTGTCACCCAGGCTGGACTGCAGAGGCACGATATCGGCTCACTGCAACCTCTGCCTCCTGGGTTCAAGGGATTCTCCTGCCTCAGCCTCCCAAGTTGCTGGGTCTGCAGACATGCACCACCACTCCTGGCTGTGCATTGCTTTTTAGGATGAAGAAAGGAAAATGTCACAAGGAGAATGGGGCCGAGACACAGAGCGGGGCTTCTAAACACCAGCTTCCCAGCGGAAGAGGCATGGGGCAATGCCACTGGCCTGGAACCCAGGGATGGGTTAGTGGCATGAGGAGCTGCTCAGGGCTTCAGACAAAGCCTGCCTGCTCACGAAATAAGGCTTGTGCTCGGCTTTGTTTATTTGTGCGTTTAACACAAATCCCCCAGGCGCTCCAGCCCTGCTTCATGAGTTATCACTGTTCATTCTAACGACGCTGCTCTGGAGGAACTGTGCCCACGTCTACAATGAGAAAACAGACCACAGAGGACAAGCCACCAGGCAGGGCAGGGGCAGTGCCCAGGCAGTGTGATGGCAAAGCGGGTGCGCCGCTACCATTTCCCCCACACACGGGCGGGCAAGGCATTACAGGCATCTACATCGTAACCTCTACGGGCCATTCTAGAAGGAGGGAGACAGAATCAGTGATTTTCAGGGCCATTTCTGGTTCTAGGTTTCAGCCTGGGGCTGTGGAGTGGAATCTAGCTTGACCCAGGTGTGGTTACTGTGGCCATGTCACTGTGGACAAATCACTTTCCCCCTTACCTGCACTGGATGAGACTAGGAATCTCTAGTCTGGGCTCCTTAAGAGTCCTGGGGCTCCGCAGAGTACACCCAGTAGCAGCAGTGGAATGGCGGGACAGGGCAGGGGGAGCTCCATGCCTCCCCTAACCTAATCAGAGCATCTCCACATTAACCCCTTCCTGGGCTCAGCATTTGGAGAGAATGGAAAGGAAGCTCAGGCCTGGCCATGGGCTACTCTAGCCTGTCAGTTACAACCCAGACCCCAGGCACCCGGACTGTGGGAGAGAGGGTCACTTATCACACCCCCAGAAAATCTCGGAGAGGAAGCAGAGTCCAGCCGAGGAAGCGCTTCCCTGCAGCTCTCAGACATGAGGCCCCAGGTGATGCAGTGGGTCAGGATGGACCACAGGGCATCCTCTCATGCCGTCTGCCGGAATCCAGGGTCTGGTCAGGGGCTGCCCACACTTTGGGGCCCCGGGTGGAGACTGAGTACGCTCCTCCAGGGTTGAATGTGCCCTCTGTCCACACCGCACAGAGCGTGGTTGTCTGGCCAGGGCACGCCCCTCCGGACAGGCTTGCCATTGTACAGACCCTCAATCCCAGCAGCTGTCCTGGGCCTGGGAGGCTGCGGGTGCAGACACAGCTCCTCTCTCTTCTGGCAGCTGCTCTGGCTTCCTGGGACAAGTGCCTAGAGGAGGACTTACGCGGTGCCATGTGTCTGGGGGCCAGGGCTCCATCCTGGGGCCAGACTGGGTGGTCAGGGCCACAGGGCTGCAAGGGGCGGAGCAGAGACACTGCCCCCAGAGCCTGCTCCCCACCCCACCCTTCTCCACAGCTGCGTGCTCTATTTAAGGTATTCCTCAGCTGCTCAGCTCCCGCTGCATTCCCGGACTGGCCCTCCTTTCCTCTCACCACTGCACAGGGCTTGGCAGGCAGCTGGGCAGGCCGGGCAGGGGAGGGGTTCCCTTCCTGGGCCCTGGAGCCAGGCTCTGTTGTCTGGTCCCACCCCGTCCCCCAATGAAGGAGACACACATGGCCTGGCTGCTCCTCCCCCATTGGTCCTCCTGTTCCCCCAGCACATGGGGGACTTCCTGCTTCAGACCTGAGCAGCTCCAGGGACAGCTAGGAGAAGGAGGGTACTTGTTCTTAGAATGAAGGGACCAGGCGCAGTGGCTCACGCCTGTAATCCTAGCACTTTGGGAGGCCGAGGTGGGTGGATCACCTGGGGTTGGGAGTTCAAGACCAGCCTGACCAACATGGAAAAACCCCATCTCTACTAAAAATACAAGATTAGCTGGGTGTGGTGGCACATGCCTGTAATCCCAGTGAGCCGAGATCGCACCACTGTACTCCAGCCTAGGCAACAAGAGCAAAACTTCGTCTCAAAAAAAAAAAAAAAACACCGTTAAAGGGAAAGAGAAAGAGACCCAATCCCAAAATAAAAGGAGACTTGGGTGTCCTCTGGAAGCAGCTCAGGAACATGGGAGGAGGTGGGAGCAGCGGGGCCTTCCGGATGAGACAGACCAACAGAAACGTCCGTGCCTTCTGGACACCTGGCCTTTAACCCTCCAGAAACAGAAGCATGTGACCCCACACAGAAAACTCCTGTGGGCTCAGGGCCTGATGCATGATGCGATCCAAGCTCACTGCTTCATCAGACACCAGTGAGACCCCCGACGCTCACCAAGGCCCTCTGCCTTATACCTGGTATTGGATGAACCTACAGACCCTGCCCGCAGGGAGTCCACAGACTGGGGATAGGCTCAGAGCATCTGTGGGTGTCCTGTAAACAAGGGTTCAGGAGCTGCGCTGTCTGTGGGCCTTTGTGGAACCTGGGGCCCTCCCTAACCCATACAGCGGTCACCCTCTCCCGGACTTCACAGTCCCTGATCTCCACCCAGGAACTTCTGGGGCCCAGTAGGTGTTCCTCCCTTCAGGCTGATACCCAGCCACCGCCCCGAGACTCAGCTCCAGCCCCACTTTCACCAAAGCCTCCTCCTCACTGCTCTGTGTTGGGCGGTTCCAGGGAGCCCTGTGCTTTGTTTAACCCTATAACTCAACACTGTCCTGGCAGCTGCTGCTGTCTGAACTGAGATTCCTCCCTGTTCTGTCCCTGGAACACCAGCCCTGGTGTGGAGGAAGTATGCAAAGAGCCACGCCCACCATCATCGGCTCTAGGGGCCTGACTCCCAGCTCCTCAGTGCTCCACCCACACGACAAAGATTTCCAGACCCTCTCAGTCACAGGCAAACTACTGAGACATGCTGCCATGTCTACGCCAATTTCACACCGTCGCAAGCAGCGTCAGCACCGAGGACTCCCTTCTTGATTCTTGGGGTGGCTGGATACGAGAGAGCTCAGCCCCCAGCCATCTCTACAGATGCCTTTTTGACATTTCAAGAAATTGAAGCTGGGAGGGTTGGAGTGATTGTTCAGAACCAGTTGGCCCATGGGGCAGAGCCAGGACATGCCCAGAACTGAGCTGGGCACCGGGCCTGGCCTCCCTCATGCCTCCAGAGAGCATCCTAAGAAGGCAGAGAACCAGACCCACAGACAAGCATGGAGCACCCGCCTTATAAGGCAGCCCAGGGGAAACTTGGCTGGTGTGGCTGAGTAGTTGGAGGAGGGAAACTCTGGTTGGGGGAGACTGAGCCAGCAGCCCGCCCTTACAGGCTCAGTCCTGGGTGCTGCAGCCCAGCCCTGCCCCGCCTAGAGGCACCCATGTTGGAGGGGAGGACAGCGGAAGAACAGGGACCCAAGAGAGGAGGCAAGTCCATCCCCACCCAGAGCCTGAGAGGACCAGGGATGACCCCAAAGGACGAGGGCCCTTCTGGGGGAGGACAGCAAGGAGGGTGCCATGTGCAGGCATAGGGCCAGAACCTCGGAACCCGAAAACCTGCTGCACCAGGATAGAGCTTGGACCTCAACAGACCCTGGTGCAGAGGAGAGGGCAGGGAGGCCTGTGCCCTCTGCAGCAGCCCTCTTCTTCTCCCTCCCCTTAAACAATCTAGTGCCCACACTCCCTCCTGAAATGCTGACCCTTCCAGAACCCCCACACTGAAGCCAGCACCCACTCACTGGGCCCTCCAGCATGATGGCCTGAGGAGAGGCCAGGTGCCCTGGGGGTAAAGTTGACCAGGAAAATTCCTGCTTGGTCCCTAGGGCTGCCTCATGGTGATCACTACATCTGCCTACAACAGCCACAAGAGGCTGTCCCCGTTTCACCACCAGTGGGTCATTCCTTCAGCATGATTTCATGGCATACCTATTATGTCCAAGTCACTTACTCAGTACCTTATTGGGTTTTTTTTTTTTTTTTTTTTGAGACAGGGTCTCACCCCGTCGCCTAGGCTGGAGTGCAGTGGCATAATCTCAGCTCATCACAGCCTCAGCTTCCCATGCTTAGGTGGTCCTCCCACCTCAGCCTCCTGGATAACTGGGACTACAAGCGCATGCTACCACACCTTGCTAACTTTTTGTATTTTTTTTGTAAAGATGGGGTTTCTCCATGTTGCCCAAGCTGGTTCCAAATTCCTAGGCTCAAGCAAATCTGTCTGCCTCGGCCTCCCAAAGTGCTGCATTTACAGGAATGAGCCACTGCACCTGGGCCCTTATGGGATTCTTTATAAAAACCAAGACAGGCTGGGCGAGATGGCTCATGCCTGTAATCTCAACACTTTGGGAGGCCGAGGCAGGCAGATCACAAGGTCAGGAGTTCAAGACCAGCCTGGCCAATATGGTGAAACCCATCTCTACTAAAAATACAAAAATTACCTGAGCGTGGTGGCGTGTGCCTGTAGTCTCAGCTACTTGGGAGGCTAAAGCCAGAGAATTGCTTGAACCTGGGAGGCAGAGGCAGAGGTTGCAGTGAGATGAGATTATGTTACTGCACTCCAGCCTGTGGGTGACAGAGCGAGACTCCATCTCAAAAAAAAAAAAACCCAGACAACAGCCCCACCCTCAGAATCTAGTGGGGGCATGGAAGGAATTCTGAAGACTATAGAGCAAAACCTTAAGCGTGGGTATTGCTGGCTTACAGGTAAATTTTAGGTTCTTTCTTATTTCTGTACTTCCTGCATTAAAAAAAAAAAAGGTACTTTTTGTGATCTGAAAAACTATTTTTGCATTGAAAAAAAAAGTCTAGCAGAAGAAAAAAAGTTTATACACAAATCATTTATAACCCAAGCCGAATGCATGTATTGGAACGGGGTTTTGAGGGATGCGTAGGAGTTCAACAAGGCAGTGATATAAAGAGAAGCAGGTTAAGGTTAGGAGGTCAGGGCAAAGAGGTTGTGAGGAAAGGTATGGGAGACCAAGGGAAGACCAAAGCAGGAGCAACTGGGACGCAGAGGTGTGAGCTGAGCAGGAGAATGAACCAACAGTGGAGGGGCCTACAGTGAGTGAGCAGTGAAGGGTCAGGGCAGGAAGAGATCTCTGCAGTGCTGTGCTTTGGGAAAGTCAGTCTGGGAGCAATTCAGCTGGGGCCCCAGGAGACCCTGTCCTATACCCACAAACTACAGGGCAGATGCCCTCCCAGAGGCAGAAGCCAATGGGCTGGGCATCTGCTCAGAGGGCACGGAGCTCCCTTCCTCCCCCCTCCTTTTCCCCATTGTGCCCGCTGGATCCCTGGTGCTCAGGGGTCGGGGGGCCTTGGAGATTGGTCAGAGCAGGGCACGTGGAGGCTGAGGGAGCTCCCAACCCAGCCCTGCATGGAGGGGCAGAAGGGGATTGGCCTGCTGGGCCTGCAGGAAAGATAGGCAGGAAGTTGAGTTGAAGACAGCTGGATCTATATCCAGAACAGTCATGACAGAGAGAGGGAGGATGGAGAAGCAAGCAGGCAGTGCCTCGGAGGAGGAGGAGCTAGTGATGCTCCCTGAGGCCTGGACCCCCCAAGCAGCCACTCGCATCGGATTTCAGGATCACCCCTCCATCAGGAAGGCCCTGCCCTCGTCTCTCCCTGTCTTTCCTCCACCCGGACCTGCTTAGGCCCTCAGGACCCTCAGCCCAGCTCATGGACCTCTCCACGAGAGCTGGACTCCCACCTGCACAGGTCTCTGTCTGGGAGTCTGAGATGCTGACGGTTTTCTCCCACGCCCAGGCTCCAACATGTACACCCTGTTCCACGGAGAAAGCCACCGTCCCCGAAGAGCTCCAGGCCCCAGGTAGCTCTGAGCACTGCTGCCTCCACGTGGCCTGCCTCTCCCTCCCCTCCCGGCCTGATGAAATTGCACTTCCACTGCTGGGGATGCTCCCTGGGCACTCATTGTGTCCCACACATCCTGCTCACAGCTCGGTGAGCTCCAGAAAGCACCGTCTGCAGGACATGTCCCTGGGCTTGGTTCCCGGCACAGTCTCTGGCACAATTTAGGGGCTGAGCTGGGTCTGCCCCTGGAGGAGGATGGCCTTGTACATCCCCATGGACATCCCCCCACCTGTCCCCCAGAGCCAGAACCATGTCCCTGTGCATCCAGCACCAGCCGTCACCAAGATTTAGATGGCCCAGTGACAACTGCCTCCCCAGCCACATCCTGTTTGACTCAGCTGAGTGTGAACACATCAACCCAGGACGGGGGTGTATCCGGCACGTCAAACAAAGGTCCCACACCAACAGAAGGCTGGGGAGGAAGCAGGCTCCTGCCATTCTGCAAACTGCCCATGCCTTTGTCCTGACACCACACCATCGGCAGGCTGTCACCAAGACTGGGTGGGTGGGGCGGGGTGGCTCCGCAGGGTCAAGCTTAGAGAGGGAACATGGACTCACACACTGAGGGCTGGAAACGACCATCCAAGGCCCGCTAGCCTCTGGCTAGTCAAGTGTGTTCTGATGCCCCCTCTGTAGGAAATGCAGAGTCCCAGGCCTCAGACCTGCCAAGACAAATGTGAGCTCCACACCATGAAAGCATGCGGAGCACCGGTCTCCCACCATCCACACCCTCTCCAGGCCCCACGTGCTCCCAGCTCCCAAGCCCACTGACCACTAGAGAATTCTCATTCAACAAGAAAAACCAAAAAAAGGTTGGGCATGGTGGCTCATGCCTATAATCCCAGCACTTTGGGAGGCCGAGGCAGGAGGCTCATTTGAGCCCAGGAGTTTGAAATCAGCCTGGACAACCTGGTGAGAACCCGTCTCTACAAAAAACATTAAACATTAGCCAGGCATGGTGGCACACAACCTGTGGTCCTAGGTACGCAGGAGGCTGAGGCTGGGGGATCACTTGAGCCCGGGGGCAGAGGTTGCAGTGAGTGGTGATCACTGCACTCCAGCCTGGAAGACAGAGCAAGACTATCCAAAAAAATCAAAGAAAAGCCAAAGAAGATGGAAAGCAGGGACTTAGAGAGAGATGGAAGCAACGTAAGGGTCCAGCGATGGAGGAATAGCTACATAGCACAGTAGCATCGCACAACAGAATATTATCAGCCTTTAAAAGGAAGGAAATTCCACCCCACACAACAGCACGGATGAACCTTGAGGACGTCATGCTAAGTGAAATGAGCCAGACAAGAAATGGGCAATTATTTTATTTTTCCACTCATACAAGTTTCCTAGAGTGGTCAAATTATTTCATAATAAAGACAGAAAGTAGGATGGTGGCTGCCAGCGGCTGGGGGAGGGGGTGGGGAGCTTGGTCTAACGGAGCTCTGTTTGGGAGGATGGCAGGGTCCCAGAGATGGATGGTGGGCTGAATGTACTGAATGCCACTGAAATGTACACTGCAAGGTGGCTAAAATTGCACGTTTTATGTTGTGTGTTTCACCACAATTAGCAATCAGAAGAAGAAAAAGGTAAATCAAAAACCTAGACCGTGCTGTTCATCTAGCCCAAAGAACGGTTACTGAACACACTACTGGAGTTCTGAGTCCTGTGCCCAGAATCGAACCTGGCTCTTGAGGGGCTTCTAACCCAGCTGGCACCTTAACACACAATCCCTGCTGGAGCCTGGCAGCACGCTTCTGAGAAAGAACCCAACCATGTTGCACAGTCTGGCATTTCCAAACATGCTGTGTCCCGCAGGACTGGCACCAATCCCTGCCCATAAGCTCCACGTCACACGGCTCCAGGCTTGAGCCCTCTGAGGACACGGCCAGAGGCCCTGTCCTCTCTCCCCTCTCCAGAAGGGCACCACCAAATAAAGCTGTGTGCAGCTATCACGAAGCCCCCTGGTCTGGGCACCCCTTCCCAGTGCTCTGAGAATCTTGTCCTGTTAGCTAAGGTGCTCCTCATGTTCCCTTCCCTCTGCCACAAGCATCCCTCCTGAGGGAGGAGGAAGACCAGACCACGAGCTCCAATGTCACCTGCAGGAGGCATATGTCCCTCCTCCCTTCACCGAGCTCTCGGCCTCTGCTGGACACGTCCAGGTACCCTGCAGTTCCTCAAGCAGGAGCCACCGGAATGTGAGAGCCCATCCAGGGGTCTCAGCCCTACCCTATCCCACACCCCTGCACGAGCCTGCCATGGTTCCTATGTGGCTCCTCATTCTCCAAGCCTCCCAGGCCTCCTGGGACACACAGCAGACAGAGGTCCTAGACGGCCCACAGCAGCCCATGGTGACCAACAAAGGAGGCTCCTTAAAGCCCAGAGAATCTTTCCAAACTCTCACTCAAGTCCCACTTGGGGCATGGCATGTCCCCATCAGGCAGAGAGAGCCACAGCCACCTCCCTGAGATTGCAGACCCCCATCCCCATGCATTCCGATCTTCCTGGGCTCCAGGGGAGCACCCCCCACCCATATCCAGCTTCTTCCTCCAAGATTCTGTGACAAAGCCAGCAACCCGGTCCCCCATGACCGCAGTATCCAAGACCCCGTGCTCTGGGACTCACCCTCCTGGCTCCGGGATGCAGCCTCGGCCAGAGGGGGCTGGGGCTTGGGCTCCAGCCTGCTCTGCAGCTGAGACACAGGGACGGGCTCTGAATTCTCCAGGGTCTGGGCTGGGCTGGGGGCGGTGGGCGCCTCAGCAGGCTTCGGCATCTGGATCTCCACCCTCTTGGGGGCTGCGTCGGTGGCAGGGGCGGTGGGCACCTCAGGGAGCTTGGAGGTGGGGGGCTCCATCCTCCGGTGGGCTGACTCCTGCGGTTTGACAATGGTGAGCTCCGTCCTCCGAGGGGCCGGTTCCAGCGTCTTGTGGCCCAACACCTCGGCCCTCTTGAGCCCGAACCGGGACGGCCCGATGGCCCCGGCGTTCTCCACCTGCTTGGATGAGATGTCAATGGACAGCTCAGTGCGCCGGGATACCGGCTCAGCCACCTTGGGGCCCGAGAGCTCCACCCTCCGCAGGGAGGCCTTGGGGGAGCGCTGGCTTAGGGAGTCCACATGGCGGGCCGGGGGCTCTGAGTTCTTCACGCCCAGGTCCTGGAATTTCTGGGTGGAGCTGGCCACAGTGGCTCGGAGCAGGGGAGTCTGGACCCTCCGGGGTGGGGTGGAATTGGGTGTCTCAACCTCCTCGACCTCAAAAGATCTTTTCAAGGCTGAAAAATAAAGAGAGGGGGTGCAGTTGGTGAGTGGATGGTTCAGGAACACTCCGGTATGTTTCCTGCTAAGGAGCAGCAGAGGAAGGCAGGAGAAGCTGGGTGAGGACCCCGGGGCTATTCCCATCCTGCACGTCTCAGCAAGCGAAAGGGACAGCCCCATCCTAGGAGACCCGTGGCAGGTGAAAGGGATAGCCCCATCCTAGGACACCCATCATAGGTTCTGGGACAGAGATGCAGGCTAGAGCAGGAGGAACTGCCCATCCTGTCTTGCCATGGCCACAGCATAAACCACAGCATAAACCCGCTCCAGCTACGTCTACATAGGAACGTTCTGCTTCCAGAGAAGATTTTGATTTCCTTCTTTTTTTTTTTTTTTTTTGAGACGGAGTCTTGCTCTGTTGCCCTGGCTGGCCGGACTGCAGTGGCACCTCCCAGGTTCAAGAGATTCTCCTGCCTTAGCCCCCCCAGTAGCCAGGATTACAAGCACACACCATCATGCTCAGCTAATTCTTGTATTTTTAGTAGAGATGGGGGTTTCACCTTGTTGGTCAGCTGGTCTCGAACTCCTGACCTCAAGTGATCCACCTGCCCCGGCCTCCCAAAGTGCTGGGATTACAGGTGTGAGCCACTGCGCCCAGCCTTGATTTTCTTTTTGTTGTGGCTATCTTTATCCTTCCTCACCTCCAGCCAAGGCACACACCCAGACACCACCAGACGCAGTGGGGGACACACTTCCAATCATAAGTGACCACAACCATAACCAATCAGAACCGCAGCGGGAATAAAACCCAGTCAATGACACCAAGAGAGGACACTGGAGCTTCGAGTGCCAGCGAGGTGCTGGGCTTACTGAGTTCATCACATCTACAGCCATCTAACCCTGGGACATAAAGAATATCATGACCCCCAGTACAGATGGGGAATTGAGGCTCGGGGTAGACACAGAGCCAGAGTGTACATCAGGCTGATGCCAGAGCCCAAAGTTCCAACGACCTGGTTATCCAGTTCCCCTAGCTTAGTCCACAGAAACCAACTTCCTCAGTCATCAGCCTCTCCTGCATCTTTCCATCCAATACCAGCAGCCCGTGCAGGGATGTCAACACCCAGCTCTCACCCTGCAGCCATCCTGTGTTCTCCACCGGGGTCTGTTCCCTCAGAGGCAGTGGCGATGGTACCTGGGAAGCTGCCACCCTCACAGTCTCCGCAACCACGCTCCCAATGAGAGCCAGCTGCTCCCGGTTATCAGGGCCAGAGCAGGGAGGGGCCTCCCTGGCGAGCACATTCACCAGCTCCTTCCTGGGCCAGGCCCACAGTACAGCCCCCTGTGCAGACCCACAGTGTCTCCCCCAGCCACTCCCTGCCTTGCCAGACCCCAAGTCCGGGTCTCAAGGGATTCCACCACTGCCTCCCCTGCCCACAGGAAAAGGGATGACAGCTGGTCTCCAGCCCACAACAGTAGCTCTCCAGGACCACTTCAGTGCCTTCCCCTCACTGTCTCCTTGCTCCAAATGCACTCAGGCGCTGGGGAGGGGAGAGGCCTGATCCTGGCTGCCTCAGCTGCCAGTTTCCCGGGCAAGGCACTCCTATGGGTGCCCTCTCTAAGCCATGGGCACCTCTCCCTCTTGGTGGACACAGACAAAATCCTGAATCACTAAGCTCAATCCCCACCAGAAGCTGGGCAGGGGGCCACATGGACTCCAAGGAACTCTCGGTTGTCACAGGCCCTGTCTTAGCTCCATCACTGCCCTAAAGGACCTGGGACCCACGTGGCCAGGGCTGCTCACTTCTCAACAGAGTAGAAATCTGTATCTTTATGTGAAATCTGGCACAAAGCAAAACAATCCCTTTTTAAAACACCAACCAGCCTGGCTGACATGGTGAAACCCTATCTTTACTAAAAATAAAAAAGTAGCTGGGTGTGGTAACGATTGCCTGCAGTCCCAGCTACTTGGGAGGCTGAGGCAGGAAAGTCATTTGAACCTGGGAGGCAGAGGTTGCACTGAGCTGAGACTGCACCACTGCGCTCAGCCTGCAGAGTGAGACTCTGTCTCCAAAAACTAAAAACAAAAATAAAATAAAACACCGTAGGGCCAAACAAAATCAAATCCACAGGCTGCCTTCGCCTCTGGGTCCAGCCAGTGACCTCTGGCTGATCATGTGGCCTCAGGGCAGCAGGATCCTAAGCCCTGGAGTCAGAGGCATCCCAGGTGTGGGCTCCCAAAGTGGCGCCACTCTGCCCCCTGCACCCTCCATGCAAACTACTAGCTCTGTTCTGATTCTACTGAAGCCCTAGGGCCCCGAGGAAAGGTTGAATGCCCACTTTCACCAGCCAGAAAGTCCGTTCAATGCCCAGAACTGAGTATAATGAGAAGGGCTTACCAAGCTCATCACATCCACCCACTTAAACCTAGGACATAAAAAATATTATTACCCCCGGTACAGATGGGGAAAGTGAGGCATGGGGTAGACACAGAGCCGGACTGTACATCGGGCTGATGCCAGAAAGTGCAGAGCTCAATGCCTGGGTCCTCATGTGGTTCCCTTGGCCTCCCATGGTCTTCTGGTCTGCCCCCTGCCTCCTAAGCCCTGTCCAAACTGTCTCCACAGGGCGTGCCTCTGTCCTCCAGGAGCAGTAGAGTAGGGGCCGGCTTCCAGGTGTCCTCAGCACCCTTCCGTGTGGCGAAGTTGAAGAACAGAAACTAGACAGGAGAAGGCCTTTTCCCAGATCCAAACCAAGAAAACAAAAGCCCCTGCCTGGGAGACTGGGTGAAGACCCTCCTTGGGGAGTCCCCTTGGGGTCATCCCCCAGTGGCCAACTCATAATGTAGGACCCTGCACCAAAGCAGAGCCCTCCCTTGTTTGAGCTCACAATTGAGGCTACAGTGCAGATGCAGTGATGTTTTCCAGCCAGGCCCACATGCATATGCGGATCATTCTAGAACCGAAGCTGGCCCCTCCCCAGAGCACTCCTCCTTCCCCCAGCTGTCTGCGTGGCTCACGCCTCACCACATTGGCCATCTGCACAAAATGCTCACATGTGCCAGTCCGCAGCCGGCCTCTCCTCTCTTTCAGTGGTTGGCATCTTTCATGGACAGTCCCCTCCCTCCTCACCAGGCTGGCCTCTGCTTACCGTCCAGCTTCTATGATCTGTCTGGGTATTTCTGCCCAGCACCACCCCTGTGCCCACTGGCTCTAAGTAAGCACTGAGAGAGCAGGGGCAGAGGCCACCCCTGCATCAGAACGGCGCTGCTCAAGGGTGGGCTTTTCTAGATAACAGCAAGGAGATCTCAGTCTCCAGAACTGCAAGAGAATATACCTGTGCACTAGAACAGCGAGAAAAGGAGACACCCCATTCTGGGGGTGTCCATCTTCCCCAAGTAAACCATGTGCCAGCTGGCATGTCAAGAAGGTGACATCTAAAAGGGCTCACCCTGGTTTATGCCATCCTCTCAAACAAGCACGCCACCGCCGCCACCTCCTCCTCCTCCTCTTGTGAATCCTCCTCAAAGCCAAGCCTCCTCCAGCCCCTTCCCAGGACCCTTCCTTCCCTCCCACACAGTCCACACCACCTCTCCCCACGTCATCCTGGCTACAGCATGACTGTTGAAGATTGGCTGCAGGGGGTGTGTCTGGGCTCCCTGAAACAGAGTTGAATATCCTCTACTCCATGACACCATCCCTTCCACCAGGCCTCAGCTGCTTCTAGAAAACCTACCAGTGCCTGTAACCCCAACACTTTGGGAGGTCAAGGTGGGTGGATCGCTTGAGCCCAGGAGTTCAAGACCAGCCTGGGCAACATGGCAAAACCCCAGCTCTAATAAACAATACAAAAATTAGGCAGGGGTGGTGGCACATGCCTGTAACCCAGCTACTTGAGAGGCTGAGGAGAGAAGATCACTTGAGGCCAGGAGGTCAGGGCTATAGTGAGCCATGATCACACCACCACACTCCAGCCTGGATGACAGTGTGAGGCCCTGTCTCAAAACAAAACAAAGACAACCAAAACCTACTGAAGGCCAGACACGGTGCCTCACACCCATAATCCCAGCACTATGGGAGGCCAAGGCAGGCAGATCCCCTGAAGTCAAGAGTTCGAGACCAGTACAGCCAACATAGTGAAACCCTATCTCTATTACAGATACAAAAAGTTAGCCAGGCATGGGGACAGAGTAATCCCTGTAATCCCAGCTACTCAGGAGGCTGAGGCAGGGAGAGTCGCTTAAACTAGGGAGGCGGAGGTTGCAGTGAGCCCAGATCGTGCCACAGCACTCCAGCCTGGGCAACAAACCAAGACATCGTCAAAAAAAAAAAAAAAAAAAAAAAAAAAGGCTGGATCGCAGGATAGG